TATTATCAGGTTTAACATAAACAGTTACCTAAAAATGTATCATGTAGTAAGTGAATTAGCCCTTAATGATCAAGTGAGTTTGTATGGGTGATTTAATAGTCTAACTTAAACTTTAAGAACATGACTAGGTGGCAGAGTCCTTTAATGTTTTACATCATTATTATAATTATCATTTTTTTTGGTAGAAACGACAAATTTACCATAAGGTGAATGTCCTAACTGATTACATATGATGCTAGCATCATTATTGTCCCAGAAATCACTGCAAACTGTTCCCCAGGTGCCATTAACACACACTTCCACACGACCAGTAGACGAAGTTCCTCCCTGTAACCGTACAGTGCCATGTTCGCAGACAGCTACAAGTATTGTGATAAATTATGTTTATTAATAGAAAACTTACGTTCACACTTTAACCCAATATCATAATAATGACTAGAACACTGTGAATTAACAACAGTAAACACACTCCTTTGACATTCAAATAATGAATCTTCCGATCCAGCACAATACATGTATTCAAGAAAGACAGGACCAGTACCTTGACCATATTGACTACTGCCATACTGCACTCCACCTGTAATAACAGTATCATTAATCATTCATGGAGTCTGCTTCTAAGAAACAACCAACTACAAGAGTAATAGTATCTATTGCTAGTGTGAATAGACAAAGTAATAGGATAAGACTGTATACATCCACACACACACACACAGTGCTGCAAGACTATACTTACACACAAAGAAGATTGAAAACAGAACTAATGGACAAATGTTCAAAAATAAATACTGGTGGACATAAGCCCATACTAGATTACATGCTACTAATAAAGTACTAACACTGAAGCAATTAATGATACAATAAAAATATTGAATGTCTTTTTACAAGTAAGGCAGGCAGTTTTAGTCCTTCAATGCACATTTGACTCTAGTGAGTCCAGAGATCATCTTGACATAATATGACATGACATGACAACATTTTTTAGATAATGTAATAATATAACAAGACTGTGTAATACACTAAGCATCAATAAAATAGCTATATTTCTATTGCATTACCGTACAGAAGGAAATTTTGGAGGGATTAAATTTTGGCGAATTGCTAAACTTTGGTGATTGGCGAATTGCTAAACTTTGGTGATTGGAAAATTTTAATTTTGCGAATTTGTGGCCATGTGCCATTGAGGATGCGCATAACGGCTCAAATTGGCGGATTTATATTTTAGCAAATGGCTATCAAAATGCCAAATTTGCCAAATTTAACTATCTCCAAAATTTCCTTCTATACGATATAACAATGTTTACATACAGTACCGCTCAGCTATAACTATTACTTTTACACCTTTTACACGAGTGATCTCCAGCACAAGGTGCAGGTGGCACTAGTGAAGAATCACTATGCACGTACACACTACAATAGACTCGTGTTGATAAGATACATGATGTACATGATAAATACACGATACAGGTGCTCGCATGTACCTTGCACTAGTGTGCATTGAGTGTATAGAGAAGCTACACTAGTGTCGTACATGATAAGTAAAGTTATAGCTGAGTGGTACTGTAGGCTCGGTGTGAAAGGGTAATTACCTAATTCCTGGTGTCCCAGTTGTTTGCAAGCAACTCTTGTATCACTAGAATCCCAACTCCAACTGCATACAGTACCCCACATCTCATTAATACAAACTTCAAGCCTTCCTTCATTTCCTGTTGATCCACCAACCAGACGAACATCACCAGTTAAACAGCTAACTGGTTCAGCTGTTATATCTAATTATAAAATAATAATAATAAAATAAAAATAAAAATATCAATGGTCCTATTACAGTCATAGTTATTTTTATGATTATGCAAACTAGAAAGACAAAGAAAATTTACAAACGACGTATAAAATAAACATAAAGGTGTTTTATATTGGAGATTTGACAAAATCACCAATTTTTGTAAGCAAGATCAAACCTACTGTATAGCCACAAAGTTTCGAGGCAATAAACTTTTGCGAATCAGGCCACACTTTTTTCGTGAATTAACTTTCGCAGTTCTTATTTTAAAGCACATGTGTTTATAGGCAATACGGATAATTTTATGGAATTAACTTTCGTGGATACGGAAAATCTGCGAAAACAGCAAAAGTTGTACCCTTGAAATTAAGTGGCTATATGGCAACTTAAGTCATTCTTTATCATACAGCAGGATATACTGACAAGAAAGACAGTTAAGTTTCAGAAAAACACCAAATTGAAATTTGCCAATTTATTGCAAATTATTAGCTGCCACCACAAGAATATCTCATTGCCAATAAATCTCACTACATGATATATTGATGTTCTTACTTTGACAAATAACTGAGGCATCATGAGATGGTGAGCAAGATCCAGTTTGATTATGTGAACAATTCAGTATACTGGTCTCATTACCAGTACAGTTAGGATTAATTATTCCAATGGCCCAGACATACTCAGAATAACCAGAGGCAGGTAGAGCACCTATAATAATAGTATCATTCATTATAAAATTTAAACTTATTAGCCGTACCGTAAGGAGAGTATCCAAGTTGATTACACACAACAGACAAATCTTTATAATTCCAGTGGTCACTACAAATTGTAGTCCATACTTCATTTAGACATAATTCAACTCTTCCATAAGTATAGCTTCCACCTCTTAATCTTACAGTACCATTAGTACAATAAGCTGTTAATTCATTTTATAAAGATATATATATATATACTGGTACTTAACTTACGTTCACATATGACAGCAGCATCATATCGATGTTGCTTACAAGTTGAAGCAGAGTTTGCTGCATAATAATTTTGATTGCAGTCAACCAAAGACTGTTCCTGTCCTGAACAATAAAGATATCCCAAAAGTATTGGCCCATGACCATAGTTAAAACCATAACTGGTAACACTACTATATTGGTAACCTACATCAATAAGCAATAAGCATAAGCGTAGAGTACCAAACTGCCAATCAATTAACTATTTTAACGAGCTAGGTTTATATTTTACAAGCTAGATGTAGGTTAATATGAAAAATAATTGGCCTCCAATACTGCAATCTGATTGGTCATTGCAAAGTGGCATGGTAGAATTATTAATAATACTCAGCTAGAAAATTTGAAGTGCTATAAAATTTGGCGAACTGACTCTTTAATCATTGCAAGCAAAATGCTACTATTGAGCCCTACTAAGTTGAACAAAAAATTTTTGACAAATGGACCTCAATTCACTAAATTTACCAAAATTTCACTCTGCTAAATTTTTAAGCTATATATGCTATAATTAGTGGCTAACCAATTGTTAGTGCTCCCATGTATCTACAAACAACTTTAGCATCAGTGCTAGACCAGCTAGTAGAACAAACTGAACCCCAAGCACTATTCACACACACTTCAACTATCCCTTGATACTCATTAGAACCATTCACTAATCTCATTTGTCCATCAGTACAGTTACTATACGTAACTAAGTTTGAATCTAATAATAATAATCAAATAAAGCAATTTGTCCTTTGTATAGCATGACATTGTTATAGATCTATATGCGGCAAAGCGAATCATTAATTACCGTAAGGAGAATATCCTAGCTGCCTGCATATGACACTGGCATCGTTGTTATCCCAGTAATCACTACAAATACTACCCCAAGCACCATTGAGACAAACATCTACAGCACCGTATTGTTGGGATGACTAAAAGTAGTTAGATATCACTTTCACAAAGACCGCACAGGAGAGCTGTACACTTACTAAACGGATTGATCCATTAGTACACTGTTGCATAGAGTACCCAACAAGCAAAAGAAGCAAAACAAGCCTCATCATTTTCATTTGCAGCTTTTGCAAATGAGGGATGATGATTGAGGGGATAGCTGCGTGGATTACCGGCATTTGTACCCAACATCACGTGATCACTAGCGTCATTCTGACCTTAGTAGACTCTATCTATAACTTGAGTTACTTTAGTGCGCAAATTGCATTGATTGACCGAGTACTTGACAGACACAAGCCATAGTTATAGCATAGATGGTTATAGTCCAATCTAATTTCAAAAGGATGCATACTAAAAATTTTGAGGCAACTTTAATACTCTAACTACTTTTTTCAGATGGCCCATTATAATGTGGTGGTTCTTAGAAAAGATTGTTTGCCCTTGTGATTCTTCCACAATATAAGAAGAATTATAATCTACAGGTAGGGTATTTGACCGTATTTCCAAATTCCATGATTAAGATGCAAATGGTGGTTCCTCGTGGGTCCACATGTTTGTAGTATCCAGAATCGGCGGTATGCATCTAATTTACTCCGTGGACTAAAACTGAGTCAGAAGTGGCTATGTAGTATTTAGTGGTAAGTGTGAAAATAAAGTCAATTAGTGTTAAGTCCATGGGATTAATTTGGCATTGGATATAGCATTGGACTTGGATGCAGACCAAAGTCACAACTAGCGTTAAGACTTGGGATTCAACGGGCAGTTTTAGGAGGCTGGTTGATTTTAACATTGTGTCTATCTAAACTGGTATTATTTTGACACAGCATGCTGCATGCAACTAATCTCATGAGCATTGTCTGAAAGGGGAATGACCAGATTAATGTAATTTGAACAACGTAGACATGTCTATGTTGCCTGTGATTAGAGTATGCCATGAACATGTAAATGTAGAATTAATGATTTAATGTTACATATGTACACATTTTCTTCAATTCATTATCTCTCTCTCTCTCTCTTTCCATTGTTCATATTTTCCTCAAGTTATTGCTACAGTCTATAGGATAGTCATTGCTGGTTAGTTGATTAGGGGCTAGTGGAAAGTCAACCATCTTTGAAGTCTAAAGAGCGGCTGGTACTGAGTATGTTTGGACTGCTGACAATGTAAAGCTGACAAATACAGAAGTTATTATTTTGGAAATAAATTTTGTACAATTATATGTGTTATTATGTTTACAATAATAAAACTAAATACTATGCAATTATATTCGGCTCTTATATTCTTTTTCAAGTTTATCAGCAAGTGCATCAGCTCTTACATTATCTTCTTCTTTAAGTATTTCCAGAAAATCTCCAAAAACTTTTCCTTCTAATTTTATTGTTACTTTAACTAAATTAAGGAGCTTGTCCATCCTCTCATCAGCTGATAGTACAGTGTGTGTGTCTGTTGCTTCCTTCCTATCAGTTTCATTTATTATTTTCTTTGATGATAATTTATTTGCAAGAGAGACAAGACTGATCTGTGATTCTTTTATTAATGAAATGTTGTCTAACATCACTTGATGAGCCACATCTGATTTATAGACTACTGTAATAGAATAACATAAAATTATAATTACTTATTGTTAAAGTTATATTATTACCATTTTGAGGTCCTGTGTCAGTCTGTCTGGGAAGCTCATTGGAGGCAGCAGTAGAAAGATAGAGTGAGCTAGAGTCTGAAAAAAATTATTAATTGAAGGCAGTATATAATATGGACTGACTTATAACTGAAGGTGTTCGATTGATGTAAATTATTATTGAAGGATCTATTCCAGTTAATTTGATGGGACAATGAAGTGGATCTTTAGCAATACCAGGTTTAGCATACACTGATATATGGATACTGGAACACATAGGATTGTCTATAAACTTGTCCACAACACATTGACGTATCTATAATAATAGGTAACAGTCATACTGTGTATTATACACCTGTACATACTTGCATTGGGGATTGGTCAGGATGTACAGTCCATCCTGATTCAAGTGATAGAGTATCTTGTAGACACAAATGAAGGATGCCATCAGGTTGATTGTACTTGAATGAAACAATTGGACCATCTTTTTCAGCTTCAGGGTGTTCATTCCCTAAATACTAAAGTTCCATTGAATGACATTTTAAATAAATTACATTACATACTTGCCGAAGGACTTCTAAATCTCTAACAACAGAAAATGTAGTCATCCATTGATTAACTTTCTTTTCTTCATGATACATCAATCCAGTGTACAGTAGAGTGACTCCTGTAAAAAATTATAAATTAAAACATAATAACTGTGACATATACCTTTGTCTTCATTTGGTTTTTGTTTCACTTCATCTTCAGTTGATTCATTGCTAACATTAGATGCATCTAATAATACAAAACCTCATTATGAATGTACTTAATAAATTATACAATGCATACATACCAGAAGTAGACTCAACTTCTTGTACTTTCTGATTAGAGTCATCAGTTACTGATTCTATTATAAAAGTTAAATTTATACAACACAATTACAATCACACAGACCTTGAGATAGTCCAGTATTTATTGGTGAGGCAGTTCTCTCACTAGTCTCTCTTGCCCCATTACCACTATCATTATGTGTGTCACCAGTTGATCCTATTATTGTACATTATTAATAATAAAACACTATTTCCATGATACATGTACCTTCAGGTGGTGTCTCATAACCTTCCTCACTCTCACTGTCACTAGGTGTGTCTCCATTACTCATCTCAGCTACAATACCCATGAAACTGAACTGCTCACGCTTTATTGATCCGTATCTTTTCCCAACTTTAAAAGACCCTCCTTCAACTATACTGAACTGGTAAGGAGACTTCAGTGGAGCTCTGACAAATTTGAGGCAACCAGTCTGACTAGTGTTCCTGAGATCCACACAATGTTGTACCTTTATTACCAGTGGTTTTAATAGTGCCTCAGATACTGATATTGCATATACTGCACTGACTAGCACAGTACCTTTGGGTACCTTGAAATTACCACCAGCTAGTGCAGTAACAGCTACTTCAGTATCCTTGGACACTGCTCCTTGGGGACACTGTAATTTGAATCCATATTTCTCCCACTGGAGTGATTGAGATTTGTCTCCTTGTAAGATAAAGAGTTCTGT